AATAACTAGAACTGCACGCTGTACAGTAATTTTAGTGTTAGTGATTAGAGTGTTTGAACTGAATTTAGCAATGATTTCACCCTTACAAAATAAAGAAATAAAATAAGAAACACAAAAGGGTAAGTAAAATATATAAATAATCATAAACAAATTGTTCATGTCATGCCATATTAAAAATAAAGTTTGATTGTAAACTAAAAGACTAAGAATAAAGGTAATTACTTACATTATTAAGGCTAGCCTGATTAGTCTAAAATTTGAACAGTGGATTGTCTTTTACTTTTCATTCACTTTACAATCTATACCTTTTTCTCACTGAGTTATGTATTTTTCATTAAAAAAACTGATATTTTGACATAAATTTCAAACTGCATCCGCCATTACACCGGCTGTCAATGAAGTGCGTATGCGTCGTGCATAGAGATGGGTTCGGATGGCGGTAACAGTGGCAGTTATTTTTTCAACTGTCACTGAAGCTGCTTCACACTGTTACACAATTTTCAAAATAACTGCTTATACTCTCAACTTGAGTTTGTATGTCTACGATTATTATCACCCAAAAAGAAGCGAAAGCTTTGTCGGTACAAATTTCGAAGGGAGAATGACAGTTGCGCTACTTGTACACTAAGAAAAGTAATAAGGAAGTCTTTACAGTAGTAAAGTTATAGACCAGGGTCGATAATTTTTGAAATAAAAAAAAATTATAATTGAATGAAACGTATTGGAAAAGGTAGAGAATATGCTAAAAATGAAGAGAAAAAATAAATTCCACTCCATCCGAGGTCGGAAAGTGGGAGGGGTGAGTTTTAAGGGCAAAAATCGGTTTACCGCGATTTTCGGCGAAACTATAAATGCTATGGAAAAAAGATTAAATGGCAAAGTTGTAGGTAACAAAACAGATCTACAACTTTTGTATTTACACTTTTTCACAAAACCTCAAAATTTTTGTGAAAAAATTTAAAAAACTAAGTTTTTGGTTTTTTAATTTTTCTTTTACAAAAAAAAAAAAAAATTTTATACGAAATTTGGTGAAAATTTACGTTAGTATGTACCAAACACACTGTAATTTTTTGGAATTGAAAAATTAATTTTTTTACCTGATATTGATTTAATATCGAAAAAGCACCCTAATTTTCAATCGAAAATTCACGCGTCAAAGTATCAGCTTTTTTAAAAAAGTCTGTAGGCTTTTTGTTTGTTAAAATCTCTACTTTCCAATAGTGTAAAAAAATATATGGCATATACTATGGCAAATATTTTCAAAAAACGCAAAAAACAAAAAAAACTCAAATCGGAAAAAATATTTTTTCATCATTATGTACCGGGTGGTCCAATAAGCCGATCTCTCGGCTATATATCGGAAACTATTCATGTTATAACTTTAGGAGAAAAAATTCCTTATTAAAGCGGCCAAGAGAAATCGCTGGAAATAACTTTCAAAGATTCTGGATTAACCGCTAGGGGGCGAAACCTGCGAAGAAAATTTTGAAAACCAGTTTTTTGGGAAATATGTCCAATAATACCAAAGTGTTAAATAAGTAAAACTAGAAAGGGGCATAAATTCTGCACAAAGCTGTTTAAAGTACTTTTTTTTTATTTTTTTCAAATAAAGGTGTGGGGGAGAGTGGAAAAGTATTTGTGGATAAATACCTATAACTTTGGTTTGGATCAACCGATTTTAATGAAATTAGTGTCATTAGAAAGAGTGTGGATGAATTAATTCACATCTACTATAAAATATTTGCATTTAGTTTTCATAGTCGTAGGTAGAGGGGACTTTCAAATAAAAAAAATTAAAATTTGTTTTTCTTCAAATTTTTTAATGGAAACACCTATTTATTGTAAATTATAATGGAACTGGATTAAATTCGTAACAAAATGGAGCAAACCGCATGTTAATATCTTTTGTTGAACTCGAGATATGAATAAAAACTCATAAACATAAGTAAGTATAGTATTGACACACCCCTGTATTATAAATTACATTAAAAAATAAGTCAGTAGGTATTTTCAAATTTTTTTATAGCAGAAGAATCTTAATGTTGATACTATTTTGTAAAAAAATAGTTTTTTCGAAACTAAGTAGGCTACGAATTTGATGGGGAGTTCATATTGTTTATTTATTGACAGCAGCCAAAACATTGTTAAGAAGTGCTATATTATAATTCGAATTAAAGATTGCACTTTTTTCAATAGATATTTAATATTGGTAATATTAGTAATTAATTATCAGTACAAATAATTCGTGATGAGTATATCAAATTGTATGATATGATTGGAGTTTATTTCGAATGTCCCAAAATGCGCTATTGCCTCACGTATATATTTTGTAAGATAATCCTGACAGGAGACATTATGGCAAAGAAGTATTTGAAAGAAAAGCAAAAAGATTAAGAGAAACTGGTTAGTTTTTCCCGTCCTTGTTTTAAACGACGTAGTAGAGTTATGACCGAAGATAATTCAATCAATGTTCTTGCTTTAATTCAATAGAATCCACATATAAGTAGTCCGAAATCTCTACTTTCTTTGCCACAATATCTCCTGCCAGGATATCTTACAGAATATATACGTGAGGCAATAGCGCCATTTTGGTGATTATTCGAAATAAACTCCAATCATATCATACAATTTGATATACTCATCACGAATTATTAGTACTGATAATTAATCACTGATATTACCAATATTAATATCTATTGAAAAAAATGGAATTTTCAATTCGAATTATAATACATATAACACTTCTTAACAATATTTTGACTGCTGTCAATAAATAAACAATATGAACTCCTGTCAAATTCATTGGTCGTAGCATACTTAGTTTCGAAGAAACAATTTTTAATCATATGAAATAACAATGGTTAAAAATAGGTATCAACATTAAGAGTTTTCTGCTATAAAAAAATTTTGAAAGTACCTACTAACTTATTTTTTAATTTATTTTATAATACAGGGTGTGTCAATACTATACTTACTTATGTTTATGCGTTTTTATTCATATCTCGAGTTCTATAAAAGCTATTAACATGCGGTTTGCACCATTTTGTTACGAATTTAATCCAGTTCCATTATAATTTACTAATAAATAGGTGTTATTATTAAAAATTTTGAGAAGAAAAACAAATTTTAATTTTTTCTATTCGAAAGTACCCTCTACCTACGACAATTAAAACTAATGCAATTATTTTATAGTAGATGTAAATTAACTTCATCTATACTCTTTCTAATGACACTAATTTTGTTAAAATCGGTTGATCCAAACCAAAGTTATAGGTATTTAACTACAAAATACTTTCCCACTCTCCCCCACCCTTTATTGGAAAAAATAAAAAAAAGTACTTGAACAACTTTGTGCAGAATTTTATGCCTCTTTCTAGTTTTACTTATTTAACACTTGGTATAATTGGACATATTTACCAAAAAACTGGTTTTCAAAATTTTCTTCGCAGGTACGCCCCCTAGAGGTTAATCCAGAATCTTGAAAGTTATTTCCAGCGATTTCTCTTGGCCACTTTTACTAAGGAATTTTTTCTCCTGAAGTTATAACATGAATAGTTTCTGATATATAGCCGAGAGATCGGCTTATTGGACCACCCGGTACAATTGTGAGATATTTCTTATAATTAATACTGTAATTAGTCATGTAGCTTAAGATTTCATGATAAATTGATAAACAAAAAAAATTTATAAACCCACAAAACATTAAGAATGCAAGAAGACATGTGGAAATAGTTGTTAAAAATATTCAAGATAGGATTTAAAGGGAATTTCATCAAAAAAATATGACTGCTATACGATTTTGATGACAGAAAGAACGCTGCAACATCTCGAAGAGCGAAGGAGAATCAAATCTCTCAAATATATCAAAACGATAGCAACAAAAGCGAATTAGCAAGGTTAAATAGAAAAATTAAAAGAGCATGTAGGGATGATAAAAATAAACATATAAATGAAGAATGCGAATAATTAGAGACATGCAAATCGGTATGAATCCCATGAGCTACATAACAAAGTCTGATATCCATCCAGAGAATTTAAACCAATCACACAAACAATAGTGGATCAAAACCAACATATTATAAATGACGAGAAAGGGATATCGGAGGTATAGAGAAAATATTGTCTATATGCAGTTGATCCCTAGAATGCAAATCACGACGAGTTCACTGCAGAGAGAGAACCAAACATTTTAAAATTAGAGGTAGGAAAAGCAATCAAAAAGAAAAATAGAAAATCTCCTGGCGCAGACCAGATCACTGAGATCCAGAGACTGGAGATATTGGAGTAAATGTTATGCATATGATCTGCAAAAATATTTGGGAAACGGAGAGTGGCCCAACGACTGGACAATATCCACTTTCATCCCTATATTCAAAAAGGAACTCCGCTATATTGCAGCAACTACAGAACGGTAACCCTAATATCCCATGTAAGCAAGGTTTTACTTCATGTAATATATGAAAGACTAAAAGCTTTTCTATTGCCTCAGATATCAGAAGAACAAGCAGTATTTGTCCCAGGAAAAGGCACAAGAGAACACATCCTTAATGTCAGACAGCTAATCTAAAAAACTCGTGAAGCCGTTGGGAGGATCAAACAAAAATATTGATTAACCAAGGGTTACATGAAGCAGAACAACTAGCCCAGGATAGGGAAGGATGGAGGAAAATCGTGAAAAAGCTGTAAAGGAGTGATGGTGTCAACACATCCCAAAAGGGATTAGGATTGTGGAGGAGGTATATTAAAAGAACGAAACGTAAGATGAATATTCATTTGACTAATAGAAAAATCGTATTGGTCTTAATTAATTAGTTTCAAGATATAATTCAATGATATGGTAAGTTTTATCGGCGAAACAAAGTGTAAACTACACTATTATGTAAGGTAAACTCATATTGCATAGATATAAATATTGAAAACATCAATAAAAAAAATTGTTCAATACTTTCATGCAAAGACACTTTACATTAGAAATATAAAGATAAATATAGCCTACTTACTCTCTGATGTCAGTCCAGATATCATATCACTAACGAAATTATGCTCTTTTTTGATAAGGTCCTTTTCGAAAAATCCTCCATTCAAATTCTCATTTTTTATAAAACCATTCACAGCCGTCCAATCAGAGATATTATTACTAGAACTGTTTTCATAATGTCTATTCTTAATATCACAATTAACTACTTCATCTAATTCGTCATGATTAAACTCCTCCTTAATACCATCTTCGATAACCTCTGTATCATCATCTTTAACTATACTCTCATCAATGTCATTATATTTCCGTCTATTTTCAACATATTCTAACCGTAAAACATCTCTAAGGCGAGGAAGAAGGTGAACAGGTTTTTTGTAATGATACTTCACCATATCTGGTACAATGACCGTATTTCTAGGTGGCAATTTCGTTTTTATTCTAAACGGTGGATTTTTTCTATGTATCTTCCTAAAAAACTGTAATTTTATTGAGTCTTGATCTACGGGTCCTGTAAATTTGTCCCATAATTTAACTCTCTCAGTGGCTGATACAGATTTCAGTAGCATTGAGTCCTAAAACCATAACAATTATACCTATTAATAAATAATTTGTATTTAACCTCTATCTTGAATAATTTTTCGTTTTGCAAATTACAAAGTTGCGATATTTTTAACCTAATCTAAAAAAAAAAAAAAATATAGGATTTCGCTTGTATAAAGACAAAAACTAATTACCCCTAGAATGTACCTTTAAGGGGGGGTTCAATATTAGTGCTAGTGATGTAATAAACTTTAAGTGCTGAAATAAACTGCTGGGACCTTTCAAAAGACATTACGAAAATATTTAAAGGTTTGTCTACTTACCAAACAATGTTCAACATGTTGTGGACACATCCACATGCCCGAAGGAGGATTAGTCAGAGGTGGATCGAGGCAATCTAAATGGTAAAAGGATTCACAAAAGTCACACGAGATCAATGGTGCAACTCTACAAGATCGCCTACATTCACTGCATTTTTTAGCCGGCAGGGGTATTGTTCCACCTGGTCCTTTTTCGTGCGCTTTAGATATCTTGAAAGTTTTCCTTCCTACCTTCGAGTATGGGATTTCAACTAAATCATAAAAAGGATTTATTATTGACAATTATTCATCATACAACATATCTTCGTGTTAATTAAACATTTTTACAGTTGCAAAAACACAAAAGATGTTTTGTTTTTCAAATATAATAATCGACTGTTTAGGAATAACCCACAACAAACCATGTATTTGATTCTTTAGGACAGTGTTTTTCATTATTTTTGATTTCACCACCCCTTAACAGGTTGAAATATTCTGCCGACCCCCTGGTGTCATAGAAAGCCAACAAAATAATTTAATTCAAAGACTACATACGTTAGGTAATGATTTTTTCCTATTTTGATACATTTATCTGTTATTTACATATCATACATAATAAAAACTTAATGCAAAACATGTTACTCGTACTTTTCCGTCATTTTCAATGATAAAAAACATGATGAATGCAAGAAAAACAAAGAAAAAAATGCTATTATGAATTGGACACTTTCCGTTGGTGGTATACAGCAAATAAAAATAGCAATGTCATTATTTTAATTCAGTGTTTAATAAAAAAAGAATATATTAATTACCCAATAACATTACTGGAAACTTAATCAGTGGTCTAACCTTTATCTATTCCAGGAAATACACAAGGAACACTCATACTTCTGGGTAATTCAAATTGTTTGGGGTTCATAGCATTGGCAGCTTCAATCAGAACTTCCATCGGGCTAAGTTTTTGCTTTTTCGATGGACATTTGGCAACTGAAGAACTAGGTGGAGTACTATTGGATCTTTTGCTTCGAAGTTGTGGAACCTCTGAACTAATGCTACTTTGTTTTTTAAAATATCTACAAGATTGACACAACCATTCGCCCATTGGTATGTCCTTTTCCTCGAGAGGTGGGTCACTAACAAAAAAAAAAAATGGTAAAATGGTAAGAACTGTGCATTAAAATTGTTTATAATTTACAAATAGTGAGCGGAATACATGCAAAGTGCATATAGATGCATACATTGCATATTTAAGCTGAACACGATTTATTTTGCATATTTTAACAAGCTCATTTATAATAGTCTGGACTTTCCTATCACTTCCTGAATTTAATAATTAATTGTTTTATTAGCATAGCAAGTTGTAGACAGCTACCTGCTTTTAAGGGTCTAATTATTTTGTTAGTTTCTGTCAAATATTTGTTTAAAGTAAATGTTGCATCGTGTTTAGTGTTTTTGTTTACTTGTATAAAGACGGACCATAGAGAGATGCATGAAACTACACCAATTCATCAAATTGTAGACAATTACACTTTTGTTCCTTAGCTCATATGAAAATTGATCTCTTGTAATTGATCTGTGTAAAGCACTGTTAGCAGTAAGAAAGGGCACCGTAAGTGCATTGTATGATGTTTAATTAAGGAAATTGTAGAGGAAATTACAGATGCATGTGGTCAATATATATTGAGCATCTTATAATCCATACCTTAAAACAGGATGAACCAGGAAAACCTTATTTAATAGCTACAAAATAACTGAAGAAAACCAATAATATGACTGTAAGATGTTTCATTAAGCAAACACTCTATGCATTCTTTTTGTGAAGACATAAAAAAATGAAATAAGACAAAAAAATGAAATTTTTTATGTTTATCAAATGCTGCTCTAAAATTACTTTTGTTGAAAATCTGTCTGGTTTTGTAAGGTGGATTCTTAAAGGGACATTCACATAGAATGGGATCATGATCTAATGAAAAATAAAGAATCACTCTGCACACCACCTGATCCAGATGAAAATTAGTACAAATATAATTCCAGATAATCAATATTAAAGTCACCTGTTGAGATAATAAAAGCATTTTGTGGAATTTTTTCAAACAAGACTTCCAATCTTTGAAAGAATAACTGAATAATAGACTTAGGGGTCTGTATACAACAATGAGAAAAGTATTAAGCTTCTTACTGAATGTAAAAAAGAATTCAAATTCAGATTCAATGCAGAGGTGGTTAAATTTATTGTAGTCAACAAAATTAAATTTATACTGAAACATATTAATTAGAATCAAAGTTCCTCCTTGGGTCAGATCTGTAAAATTTAGATATTAAGGAGTAATTTTTAACACAAAATGTTTGTATAGGATATAACCAGTGCTCAGTTAAAAGCACAAGATCTGGCCAATCATTTGCACTAAGAAACACTTCCAGTGTCTCAATATAAGACAATTTTGATGACAACTCACATGTAGTACATTAATATAGCTTTTCTTATTAAAGGGAATAATAAATAAACACGATCAGAAGACCAAAGCACAAAAATACTTACTGGCATCCAAAATGAAAACTATAGGGGCATTTATCACAACATATAAGATCTCCTCCTTCACCACAAGCATCACAACTATCATGATTGTGCCCTTTGCCAGGTCTTTTGTAGTACGGATGGTCAGGTTTTTTACTGCCATTTTCACCATTATCATCACTCTTAGGAGGTGCTATCAATGCTTGGATTTGCTAAAAAATAAAATAAAACAAAAATTTTGTGTTTAAAAATATTTATTAAGTACATTTTTTATAAACTTAAACAAAACTGTGATTATTTACACTCAATGATGATTGGTTTGTTCAGGCATATTTTGGAAACATTTACCATTGAAGAATCTATCAAAAGAAGCACATCCATAGATAGAGACTGCACTTAAAACTGAGAAACTTATTTTTATTAATTAAATTGTGGATTATATTACTGCTTTTCAATAAAGTTATCTTTTTACTATTATTAATTTAGTAAGTAATAATGTAGTAATTGTAAGTTGAGAAATGTATGAAATATTCCACATACAAATAATCGTGAAACAAAGATATTAAAAACAGAACAGAAATAAAGGGGAACTTTTCAGTCATTATGAATGATTGCTAAGCCAAATTTAAATTCTTCCTGTTAGTTTAGGGGATCCAAGTTGAAATAAAAAAAAGCCTCCCAACAAAAACCAATTGTTTTTAGTTATACAAGCACAAACTTATTAAACTTTTTTATGAATATGAACTAGAGAAAGAAATCTGGAAGTTGTTTTTGAGGAGAATGCCTTTTTTGATAACTTCCTATATTACATAAATGTATTTTCTTTTTTAAATAACCATTTGACTAATATAATATGAAAAGATGAATGAATTCAATCTCCAGAATTAACAATTTGTGAAAATAGAGGAATGTTGAATCAATCTATAAGGATAATATAATACTTTTAGCAAATTTCGATAAATCAATGAAGAAATTCGAAATATTAATGACATGAAAATATATTAAAATTAGTAAAGCTTGAAAAATAGCCATGTGGTATCCATTTTTCCTTTTGAAAACATAATATATCATCAAGAATATAAAGAAAACCAAAAATAGTCAAATAAGAAGTCCATTAGTTTTTCAAAAATTGGGAATTCTTTGATACAGATATACACAGTAGAATGCTACAATAAGAATATCTGAACAAGCTTTAACCACCTATACATTTCTAGTTAATGGGTACTGATTAGTAAAGGACCATTTACACTTAAAACTTTATTGAAACAAAAGGCAGTCAATGTAATTAAACAATCCATTTAAGCTGATATTCAATCCATCTGTAGAAATACATAAGGCAATGTCTCTATTTGATCTCTTCACTGGTTCAATCATATATAGAATGATAGGGCTATGAAGACAAAAAGTATGTACTGCATTCAGAGATATTCAATGAAATCCTTTAATTGCTGAGCTCAGACTTATGGGTGGCATTATAAGCTGATGGTTCTTTAACGACGTTTTACGAAAAATGATACTGTAGGACCTCAACAATCGAAAATATGCTACCTTTCTCCGGATATTGCAAATAATGACACTCCGCCATTTTCTAGCCTTAATTTTTCATGCAAAAATAAAGACAGTCAAACTTACATCCATTAGGCCCCCAGAGGTATCTAGATCATACTTAACAGTAGCCATTTTATGTGAGAAACCCTCTTTACTATTCCTATTTTCAATCTTTTACTAGAATTTGCTCAAATCCCTTGTAATGTAGAATTTTCCTTGTTAGTTAATCAATGCATTTCTTTATTATTTCTCTCTAAAATTATGTCTACACAATTAATATAAATAACCTATACACTGGTGTACCTAACTAGACATATTAATCTTGAGTATTATTGCTTATATGCTTATGAACTTGAAATTTTGGCATTCATTATTTACTCTGACATTTCACATAGTTGGCGCCGTTGTTGATGCTACAATCCATTCCATTTTACGAATGTCACGCTAACGCATTCGCAGTGTGTTTCGTGGTTTCGTGTTAAACTCTACTAAAAATAGTAGGTGTACATCCACGATGACAAATAATTTCAAAGGCATGTTTTTTACATGCCAAAGGGATTTTATATGGTTTAAGATTATTATTTTCCAAACCGTTTTTCCAGAGTTTACCATTTAGAGTACAAAATTTGAAAAATCTACTTCGATCGACTTCTATAGATGGGTCATCCACGAAATACTATCCAAAACTGAAAGAAAAGTAGTTGATAATATAAAATTAAATCATTTGTCTCATGGCTAATAATATATTATAATATGTTCAAATCTGGGTGACGATGAATTCGCTATAGAATAATATAAGAATTATACAGCATTTCGAAAAAGTTTGCTTGATTTTTTTAGTAATTTTTTATTAATGGTAATGTTAAGTATGGTTAGATGACGCTAATAGTAAAAACCTATTATATTTGTATCTAAAATAATTCGTATAATCATAACACAACACAAAATTTTCATATAAATGAAGGGATGTAAAAAATATTTGTATTTCCTAAGTCTTAAGATATACATTCTGATTTCAATATATAAAAAGATAAGTTTTTTGAAATTTCAGTTTAAATATTTTCGTTGTTGTACCTCAATATTGACACAGAATATTAAACTCTGTAATATCGATACGTATTTAAGAAGAAATTAATATTTTGTTCCATAGATAAATAGTATCATAGTATACTTCATCTAATTTACTCACCGTTGCACGTCATTACCATTGACAGAGATCGAAGTTGACATAGTGCCAAAGTATTAAAAAATCCTGACTCCATTTTAAATCAAATAGGTAACACATCGAGTTATTGTCTATTCGCTTAGCTAGGGCATATTTTGACAGACTCATTGTAGGAAACCTACAACACAACAATTCCTACTTCTCAGTATTAATAGCTCGAGTATACTACTATTGCAGACTTCTTTCTTTGAAAAAAAGAAGAATTATTCTAAATAGTGGAAGTGTATACTAAACCCATCAAATTTTCCCTGTATATTTAAAATATAATATTTGAATTGTTACAATTTAAAATATTGTAGTAAATATTTGTATTATTCGCGTTGTTTATTTAATTTAATATAGTTTTATTGTTTTATCTTTGTTTAATTATTTTGTTAGTTCTATTCAGTTAATTAGTTAGTTATATTTTAAATTTTATTATTATGGATAGTCAAAGTTTTCCATTTGTTCCATCAGCTAATGCGTTGGTAAGTTTTTCTTAATAAATATGATAAAATGTTTTTTAAAAGTTAATATTTTTAGATTAGTTGTTTCTAATTTAATATAAACTTGTTTATACCTACATGGAGGTTTTTGTTGTTTGTTTGGGTTTGTATGACTGCAGACTGCGGCCAGGACACTGAATTCATTCACCATATGTGGAAGATTTTAACATCCTCAAATATGCTAATGAGCAAAAATTACTATTGAACCACGAATTTGCCTAGTCAAATTACTAATATTTGCTTTTAGCATATGGAAGTACACTTATTTTGTAAGATAATAAAACAACAGTTTATGTTAATGCTATCCAATGAACTGTTAATCTTTAATCATTGATTCTATCCTAGTCACAACATAAGGAACTTGCTGTGTCTTATTTAACCTCACTTTGACTTTTTAATTTTGTAGAATTTATTCCCACTTTTTTTATTTTGTACAATAAATAATTTTATTATTTGTTATCAATACATTATACGGTGTAAATAAATAAATATTGATTGTCGGCAAAGTTCTATTTTATTTACTTTTGTTTACATTAATATTGACTAAGAGCACGTATGCTTGGTTGTATAGTAATTTCCAGCCACTTCGAGTCTGTCAAAAAGTAACTAACTTCGCAAAAAAAATAATTACTAAAATCACTAGACAGTTCGGACTGGGAATAGCGAACCGGGTATAGAATCTAACTCGATGAGGTAACATAATGATTGCAAAAGTATTACCATCTCTTTACAACGACTATTTAAATTCTTACGTGAAATTTTTGAAATAAAACACACTAATTTTGTTCTAAAAAGAACAAATTTTATTTAAATAGGTAAAAATATAAAACAAGAGGTATTCACTTTAAAATTCAAAATAATAAAGTACAAAAAGTGTCCAACACCGCAACTGTCAAATGAGTGTTACCAATTTATGCCAAAATTTCAGCTTTGTTCGATTACAGTTACAGTGTGTTCTGAACAAATGTTTTTCATAAAAACGCTTTATAATGCATTTATACAAATTAAATGAAACATATTAATGTGTATTCCTTTAAGTTAACATTAATAGAAATCTTTAAATATTATTTCTACGCGTATATAAAAAAATATAAAAATATATAATAAAATATGTCTACTGGCAGTAATGCCAGTTTACTCGGCGAAATGATTCTACAAAAGAACACACCTACCGCCTAAATATTTCCTGTTGGTTATTTATTTATTTATCGTATGGCAATTACAACACAGTTAGAACAAAATTACAAACACTAGTAATATAGGTTGTGTATGAAAAACTTTAAATAATTACAAACAAACATCAAGTGTATTAACATAATCAATTGACTCTGAAGTTGCAAACAGGAAGTCTTCAGGGCTACCGTTGTAGGATCTTGGGGGACACTCTTCAATAATATGGTCGATCCATCGAGCAATAAGACAAAAGAGGGAATGTAAAGGTAGAAGGGGTAAACATATTGATAGACAGGAAGTGCCATCTTGAGAGGCCACTTTAGACAAGGAAAGACAGTCTCTTTCCTTGTTTAAGAAGTCAAATTTAGTTTGGTTATGTTATTGTTTGTCCCAACTGTCACATGAAATTTTATTTATATTTAAGTTTTTTACCAATTATGTCACTTTTTAGACTATTATCGTTGATATTTAATTAAAACTTTCCTTTCCTGAAAAATATTTTACAGGTATTGTTAACAAGTGTTGGAAAATTTAAATTTAGCGCCTTTGCATTTCCGGATGTGTCCGCCATCAGAGGCCACTTTTTTGGTCTCCTTTTTATAACGATTAGATTCCCTCTTTTGTCTTATTGCTCGATGGGTCGATCGTTCGTGTTGGTATCATGTGATCTCACGGACTATGACGCAAATGACGTACAACGTTGAGTAAATTAGATGAAGTATAGAAATTTTGTTCTGTCAATCTCATTTGAGACTATCTTCACTGGAATCAAATGTAAAATTCACAATTTTTTAGGTTAGGGTACAACTGAACTGACACTGACATTGATGTGCTGACAAATACAATATTTGTGCCGATGTGTGTGCAACTAATTATTCAATTGAATAAAATAAATAATAATTTCCAATAATGGCATTTTCACTCTGGAATTTATTTGAAGCGTCCCTGTTATTTTTAAACGCAGTTTGCATTTTGAACGAGGAAAGATTTCTAAGTAAAAGTAAGTAGAAACTATCAATCAATTCATTCTTTTCTTATAGTTTTAATAGTTTCACAACTTATTGAGCCTTTTGAATGCTCAGTATAACTATTTACTTGGCCACATTTTCTATAAATCATTAAACATATTGTAATACGTGGTGTAATCAAGAATTGTAATTATTTTGTCATAATCTTCAGATGTAGAATCTTTATTTTTATGCCTTTATAATGAAAATAGTATCTGTTGTTATATCTGTAACTGCACTTTTATTATATTACAAGATATTTACTAACCTTATTTTTAATTTTGTTGTACAGTTGGTTGGAGTTCCCGAACAGGTGGTGCCAATATTCAAGGCTTTGGTGAAAATCCTTCAACAAAATCACAAATTTACACCCTCTTCCATTCTATAAGAACAGTAGCTAGAAGTAAGTGCTATTATGAAGTATATATTCGTAGTCCAATTAAGCTGAAATCATTATTGTAGAAAATACTTTTGTTATTAATTTTAGAAAAAAAAGTTATTCATAAAAAGTTCTGCATTTGCTCAAACTTAAGAACCCTTACATATATATTTTTTCAGTCCTTTATACAATGTATAAAAAATATGAATTTTGATAAAATGCATTAGGCTTTCACTGCCATACATAACAAGTTAAACAAATATGAATTTTGCATAGAAAAGTCAAGTATTTGTTAAAATATATAAACTCGGTTTCATCGTTCTTGGCATGTGCGTGAAATAAGCTACTACGGAATTTTTAATATTCGTCTCTCTCTGGTACACAGATGCGAAATTCAATTGTGCGAGTCACGTTCGTCATGAGAAGGGAATGAAGAGACCACTCAAGTCTCCCAGTATTGTAGCAATAACACCAATACGTTTGGCCGATACGGTGTTGGTGATAAGTTCGGCCTCTTTACGAATACAGATAGCTGCCACTGGAGGAGGTAAACAAATCAAGTTTAGACAAGGAAAGACAGATGAAACAACTTATTGCAAGTGTTTTTACACGCACACGCCAAGACAGATGAAAACGTCTATATCATTTTTTAATAATTCTACTAAAAATCCTCTGTGTGTTATTTTACTTTTATTTTATTTTATATATTTTTATATTTCTCTTTTTTATTACAGTTCCATTAATAGTTATCAACCTGCTAGTGATTGTGCTGAAGCTAATACTCGGATGACACCTTTAATTTTAATATTAGGAATTAGACTTTGTGAATCCTTTATGTATTTGTATATATTTTGTATAATAAAGAGTTTATTATAATGTATGTTTCGTTTACACAATTGACTAAAAAATCTTAATACTGTTTTTATTATCTTGATCAATATCCGTTAACAATGAATGAAAATCCATAGTTAAAGTCTCTAGACTCTAGTTTTTTACAGTGTGGTTGCCAGCGGCAAATATAATTTCTTGAATCTGCATTTCATTTTTGTCTATAGAAGTTCCTCTAAAAATTATAAAAAAAATCTACCAAAACAACAAAATGGAAGTCAGAATAGATGGACAACTTACAGAATCTATAAAAATAGGCAGCGGAATAAGACAAGGGGAGTCATTGACCCCTATGTTCTTAAATTTAATCATTTATGAAATCATCAAAAGAGTTAACAAAGGAAGAGGATACAAAATGGGAAACAGAGAAATCGCAACACTCTGTTACGCAGATACACAATATTAATAGCCCAAGATAAAGATAATCTGCAAAGACTGGTCGACAGACTTAACATAAGAGCAAAAGAATTTAGTATTACAATCCCATCTCGCACCTTGAAAACCATAGGGCAGTAACTGCAAAAACCATAATGTTGGAGTTATGAGCATTTTAATTTTTTTAAAGTTAATACTATTTACTGTAATTTCAAAAATTAAGCTACAAACCTGGTATTTAGCATAATTGTCTTTAATTTTGCATATTTTTATATGCAGTAAGGAGTATGTGATATTTCCTTCAGGAAATAAGAATTTTAGCACATATGGTTTTAAAAAATATATTAATTTTGGAAAAGAGAAGCAGTAAAATTCATATCAAATAAAAGTTTTTTAACCTAAGTATACTTAAATTGTACTTATTTATTAAAAATTTTTGGTTTTACACTTAATCAAACTCATGCATATTGTAATCTGTTTGTTCGGTTTCTACTGTTCCATTGTTCACATGTAAATCTGAATAAAACCTATGGTAGTGCTCTTGAATAATATTAGCCTTACATAGTGAGAGCAGATTTTGTTTTTTTAGAGTGGATATTCCTGGTGGATGCGAATATGCTTTACTACTTAGTTCCGTATTAGCCACCAACCCTCGTTGTCTTCGCCTTATATTACTGGTTCTGAGCTGTGTATCGTGGTAGCTTGTCTTAGCTGAATAGTAAAATTCATATCAAATAAAAGTTTTTTAACTTAAGTGTACTTAAATTGTAATTATTTATTAAAAATTTTTGGTTTTAGCACTTAATCAAACTCATGCATATTGTAATCTGTTTGTTTGGTTTCTACTGTTGCATTGTTCACATGTAAATCTGAATAAAACCTATGGTAGTGCTCTTGAATAATATTAGTCTTACATAGTGAGAGTAGATTTGTTTTTTTAGAGTGGATATTCCTGGTGGATGCGAATATGCTTTACTACTTAGTTCCGTATTAGCCACCAACCCTCGTTGTCTTCGCCTTATATTACTAGTTCTGAGCTCTGTATCGTGGTAGCTTGTCTTAACCTGAAACTTATTTTCAAGTGTCTTCTTCACCTTGATCATCTTAATCTCATTCCAGAGGACCTGATTTCCTTCTTCGTCCATGTTATAATTGTTTCCATTTCCTTACATTTTTTAAAGTAGAATATATCTGACGTAGACATTTCATTAATTTTGTAAGGTTCGCCTGATTTTCTCGCTGTTTGAACTAGTCTGACCCATTGCGAAGGCACATACATTGTACTTCTTTTTGACGACCTTTTTTTTTGTTTCTTCATCAAAGAATGCATGTTTCTCCCTCATTTTGGGAGTGACCGTTATCAAAAATTTGTGGTTAATTTTAAGTATGTTATTTCTGTATTGCATAGAGATAAAGACAGACAATATACTTATTTTTATTTTGCCCTGCAGTTATCCCGAATATATCATCATCATCAGTTGGCGCTACAGCCCTTCGTGAGCCCTGGCCTGCTTCAAAACATTCTTCTATCCTTCCCTATCGAGTGTCTGCCTTCTCCAGCCCCTCACTCCAATCTCTCTAAGATCTTCCTGTACATCGTCCAGATATCTGAGTTTAGGTCGCCCCCTTCTTCTTCTTCCGACCGGCCTGTTTAGCATAGTTATTTTAGTGAGATCACTCTCATCCATCCGCATAACGTGGCCCACCCACCTTAGACGGTTTATTTTGATGGTCTTCACAATATCTGCATCACCAAAAAGTCTATAGAGTTCAAAGTTATATCGCCTTCTCCACAGACCCTGTTCGTTTACTCCGCCATATATGGTCCTCAATACTTTTTTTCAAAGACTCGTAGTAACTCTTCATCTCGGGTCGTCATTGCCCATGTTTCCGATCCGTATGTGAGCACTGGGCGTATTATTGTTTTATAAAGTTTGCATTTTGTTGCTATTGACATACTTCTCGCTCTTAGTTGAGGGCCCAGGCCAAAATAACAGCGGTTAGCCACGTATATTCTTTTTTTTATCTCTTTGGATGTGTTACTTTTGTCCGTATTATCCGAATATATATATATATATATATATATATATATATATATAATATATATATATATATATATATATATATATATATATTTCCTGTTCTCTGGTATGGTTCCTCAGAAATAATAACAGGCACAACACTATTTGCACGACCACGATTAACAATTCCCTCGAAACAAAGACAGCAGTGTCCTGCATTTGTGGTCAGGTCAAAAATTGTAAAATTAAATATTGATAATCTCCTTTTATAATAAAATAAGGGGGCATAGCCTGAAGGTGTCGGCAGTACGGGTTGTAAGTCAAAACAAGCAGTAATGCAACTGTTGAATTTTGCAGATTTTGATTCATTTTCGTTTTCTTTTGTACTAAGTTCCACTTCTTGACGGTGAGTATTATAGGTTGCTTCTAATGTAGATTTATCTAATCAATTTTTGTATCTTTCACATAGAGAACAGAAGTCTTTTTTGGGCTTAAAGAAGCTTATATTAAATTCCGTGTTAAATATGGTCCCAAACGTAGCGTAATTTCCGAACACCGTACCTTTTTCTTTGCAAAATTTTATGTAATTTTATTTAATATTATATAATAATTGTTTCAAATATATAATGTGAGCACTTTGGTCCCGTTCTTTATTTTATTAAATAAATTTTTTTTATTGTGTTAATGCCTCGACAACTAATGGTCATTGGCATGGTACAGTCAGGTACCTAGTGTAGTGTTTGTGTATGTGTGTAGAGTAATAGTCTTGATACTTAGCAAAGTCGACGTCATTGTCTTTGCTAAGAGACGCTAATTGTATGCGAACGTCTGCGGTCCCTCCGGTGAGTACCGATCGCACAAGGATAGAAATTATTTTTATTAATTAATTTTTAATAAACGAAAATTTCTCGACCCAGGTGAGATTCGAACTCACGACCTTTAGGTTTAAAGGTAGGCGGCTCTTACCACTGAGCCACAGAGGGGGTTAAAATAAAATTTGAATTATGTTTGTTTGGAATAGTTCCATGTAAGACGATATCGTAAAAACTTTACCAGACCCGTTAAAGACAGAAGGGATCATTTTATTTTTGACGTAAATTTCGTCGGGTTGAACTTCTAAATCTTAAAAAGTTTGTAACTTACTTAAAAAAAATTAAATTAAAATTTTTCAAACACCAAAAAATTCGTTTTTTCTTGCACTTTTAAGTTATTTACACTTGCTCCAACAATAACACAGGCTGTTGTAAGCTAGAATCCATTGTCACACTTACCCCAAATTGAAGGGAAAGTGTGAACCATGGATACTTAAAAAAATTTAACATAATTTCCACATCTGATGTTACGAACGTGCCCAAATTTAAGTATATGTAGTAAAGTCAGTAAGCATTCTAGGAAAAAAATCTCATGACTTAAAACATCTAAATCATGTAAAATATGTCATAAAAATCATCTAACTTCTATCTAACTAATTAGCTAGCTAAGATAGCTAACTATCTTATTAGCCTTCTTCGGTTCATCTTTGGACATAGGCCTCCCCAATCCTTTTCCATTCTTCTCTGTCTGTCGCTACAGTCATCCACCTAGAGCCCACGTGTTTCTTGATATCATCTGCCCATCTGCAAGTCGATCTCATTTTTTGTGGATCCATTAGGGCTAATCCATGTCCATTTTCGTTGGGGCTTCTTTTTGTAAAAGGAGTTCATTGCGTATAGATGTTTTTCTTCTAGGTAGTTCATCAAAGTAGCACCTCTATCATTTCTCTGACCATACCCGAAATCTCCTATTTTAGTTTCTTTTTGTTTAGTTTTCTACCCAGTTTGGCATTGAAATCTCCAATCACTAGTGTAAGACGATTATTATGTTTTTCCATAGCCTTTGATATATCTTCATAAAATAGTTCGATTCTTCTTCATTATAAGCTGTCGTGGGGGCATATCTTCTTCTTATTTTAAGTATGACATAGGCGACACGATCTGATATACCTTTGATAATTTGGACATGCTTACTAATAGCTTTATTTATTATAAATCCTACTCCAAATTTACTATTCGTTTCATTTCCTTATAATTATAGTAGATTCATTAATATATAGTAGATTACCGGATTTAAGCTGTATTCGGTTTTCTTCTTTTCGTTGAGTTTCTGATAGCTAACTTCATTTAACTGAAATTCAATTTTCTTCAATGTAGTTTTTTTTTATTTTTCACCTACAGTACCGATCGTTTTTTATTATTATAATATATGTTATAAATATCTTGAAGATATAAAAATATTTATCGAGAAAGAGTTCCGAAAGAAAAAGGTAATGGTTCAAAGATTACCATCATATTTGATGATTTATATCAACTTTGACCAATTGAATCCCAGGAACCACTTCTCGTAATTCACCTTTTTCTTTTAAAATAAGCTTTTTGCTGAGGTTTTTCTAACGCCGTTTTCTGAATTTAATTTAAACTAATAGTAACCCAGATATTCTAGCCAAAAAATTGTTTATAATTTTAAAACATTCCTGAGACCGCCCAAATAATCCGATTTCAATTCCATAAAGTATGTTAGATCGATAGAGTACTTTTTTTATAAGAAAAAATT